TATATATATAAGTTTATAAATACGATACTTGTGCGCCATGTGTACCTTCCGGAAACCCGCTATTACCGCTTCTCAAATAAAGTTAGATCGTGTGAAATTATGTCCAATTGGAAACCCTAGTCGTGTACTTCGGTTCCCCTCATTTACTCAGAAAGAACATTCCACTTGAGAGCTAATTAAAAGACACAAATTATTGCAAGAACTTTCATTATCAGCTTTTTAGATTTTTTTCTAACTTCGTTCGCAGTAAAACAAAATTATTATTCAATAGGGTACTTCAATATCCAATCTACTATTTAAAGTACTATATTCAAATATGCATTATTTTCAATTATATTCGATACCTAAAAAGTAAGCATTTTTTTTCTATAGGTGCAGTGCTGAAATTGACTAGTGGAGACTAAACGAACACTGGGGTACGTTTTTCTAAATTTTTTTCTTCTGAAGATGTACGCATAATGAATGAATTTGCGGTAAAGGCAAAACATTACCTTACAGAGTTAGCCGCCTACTAGATCCTTTTGATGCTTAGAATGTAGATAGCTAATTTTTTCACTGTCGTGGAATAATAAAATTAATGGGAAAGGCAATTTAAGCCTTATAAAATGTATTGTAGCAATCCTAAACTATACGTGTTCCCTATATAATTAAATAAAAGTAAGATACTTACCACATTTTCGAATTCCTTCATCATGAAACTAGCGTGTTCCTTCTTGCGCTGGCTTTTCGATCTGGAAGCTTCGATTCCAATAAGAAATGTGATGGCTTTGCGGTCTTTGAGCGAGTAGTACATTCGACATTTAGCAGGCTTACCATCACGACCCGCTCGGCCTGATTCTTGGTAAAAAGACTGAAACGAATCAAACCGCAATAAACTAAGGCTCGGTGATCGATGCAAGTTAGCGTTTAGTGCATACGAACCCGTGGGGAAGTTATATTATAACTAAGGTGACTGCAGATCAACTCGATGAAAGAAATATTGATGGAAACTAAAAAGGTATACAAAGCAATGGTTATAATAATAATAATAGAAAATATATATATAAGAGCACAAGGACCCACAGAGTTTTAGGGGTACAATAGCTAAATGCTGTTGGTCCTATATTGGCATTATTTTTACAAATTTCATTCGTTGATGCTACATCGCACTCAGCAGAAACGATGAAGCAGAAAACGCAAGGCAACGACTGCTTCCTTTCCGGTTGACCTTCAGCACTAGTCCTATTGCAGCTATCGTATTCTTCCATTGCAGGAATAGTGGATTGTCAATGACTAAAGTTACTCTTAACGAATACGACTCGTATTAATCTAAATTGAACCACATCTCAGATACAGATCTACACGGCTACGATAACCCCAGTGTAATTGCCCTGAGACGTAATTTTGAACCGCTAACCGATCTCCTTACTTTTTAACATTCCGAAAAGGGGCTAAGTATTTTAGAAAAGTCAAAACCTTCAGCCACGTACGTTGAGGAACGTCTTCAACAGAGCTATTTTTTAAAGCCGAAAAGGATTGCTGGACAATTAAAGATGCCACGTCTGCAATGCTGTGTAAAAAATGCCCCCCGGTTTCCATTAAAGAAATGTATGTCCAAAAAACCACGATGCAGCACGCCGCCAAATGAAACATACTAGAGAAAATCATAATTACTAGAATATAAGAGCTACTCAAAAAATAAAATATTTTTAAAATAAGGAACTTTGAACAAAATTCTCTTAAAAAAGGAAGTCCCACAAGAGAAAGACTGGCCAGTATTAGTATTATAATAGTAAAAGGACTTAAATTGCCGAGAAGCTCTACGTTACCAAACCTTGTCAGAATAATGATCCTATCTTTTAAGAATAATATGGCCTTAAATGATTGTATGGTTAGGTAAATGAAAAAATGCTAACTGATATCTACTGGAACAAATTATTATTATTGCAGCACCTAATTGATTTAAAGTTGATAAAATAATAATTTTTTAAAACCTATTTCGTAGGTAGACCTGAAACTAATATCATTAGATATTTCACCTATTGAGTTACAAGGATCGCATCAAACCAGGTTTTAAGTAGACACTTTTAGGCAAGCAAACCAGTACATGCACAAGGTTTTACGGCTCCGAGCCCATTTTATCGATAAATTAGCTAATCTGATTTGTTGATGTCACATCCATTCTAATGTAAACTACTACAACTTTGTCCCACCTACCCTGTTAACCTCTTGGAGTTATCCTGTTTTTTTCATTTATATATCCTTAAAGCGTCTTGTTGCTTAGCAACTGTTATTCATCAGCCTGTTCCAGTATTGCCGCATTTAAACACCATTCCACCCAATCCAGCATAAGTTATAATTCAAATGAAGTCTTTCTTCGCAACCCCGCTGGACGTCTCCAGTTAATATAGATCTGCTTTTCCGACTATGATGTTGTTTCAGTCATTTTGTAACTATCTTAGAGCAATCATCGTATTTCTCAGAAACCAGCTATATCTAATCCTATCTGTGTCTCAGTAGTTACCTTGGTATACCAACTTCGTTGATTTGCTGTATTAGTTTTGTTCCTTTTTGGTATAATTCAGCAGGTTCGCTGTTTTATTGAAAATGATCTGACGAATGAAAAAAAAAAAAGATCTTCAAAATATAAACCCAAACAAAATTTGCATCATCTCCATGCTTAAGGTCAACATTCGACCAAAGCCTTCTCTTAAGATTTTAGTAAATCCAAACTCATAGGGTTACCATTGGGTAACTATTGTCTTGTTATGCTGTCAATAGTATAGCGTCGCCTTCTCACTGAAAAGTTCCTGTGATTCCAAAATCCTATTACACAGATCTCGTTTTTGCAACGCCATTTATCCGCTCGTTAGTTTCCAATCCGTCCACATACGGTTTAATACAAATCCTATGCCTCTTTCGTAAAAGGATGTAAATAGCTGTTCTTTTTGCGAGCCCGTTTTTGTGCTTATCTTTTTGGGCTACAAAAATTTGGTTTTCAATGCTAACTTTTCAGAAATGTTTAATGTTCTTCAAACTATGTATTTAAACTATCACCACAATCGAGCGTACTTTAGGACTGAATTCTATTACCTCATAAAAACCCAATTAAAGCAAGCATTTTTCTTAGGCCATTTTAGGAAAACAAACCACAAAAACTTACGAGTATACTCAGACTGTTTGTTTTATAATATAGATAGAAAAGGCCTAGTCCTAAGCTGAAATCGTTCTTCTTTGAATTTGTTGATGCCTAACATTACGTAAACAATAAACTATAAGTGAGGTATACAACAATAATGATCCTTTTAAAATTATCCTGCTTTACCTTTTCCATTATCCTGCACAATTATCTCATTTTCGCAATACAGTATCCTTGTCGTTGTTGATTAGGTAATCAATTTGTGACCATAAAAAATGAATGAGTTTGTCCTACAAGTTGTTTCAATTCAAGTTCCAATTCCGTTCGGAGTAATCCTTGCCGAGTGAAACACATTTATATCATATGTTTCTTTCCAGTCCTTAAAACAATTTCTAAATGTGATCGTCGGGCTGCCTCTCAGCTCTATTGCTGTTCGTTTTTTTTTTCGTATTTATTCTACTCTGTCGAAACGCTTTCCCTTCAGACTTTTCTCTCATTCTGGAAATAGGAAAAGGTTGCAGTGGAGGACCTGTGATGAATACAGGAGCTGGAAGGACACAAACAGGTCGAGTTTTGTTTTCAAAAACTGCTGTTAGAAGAACAAAATTTGGGCCAGTGCATTGTCTTGACGGAGGATCCAAGATAGCTCTTTCATCGAATAAATTCGTGCAACCTTTAACTTTTTGATAGTACTTCTTAAAAAGACCATACAGCCGAACGGGGTGAATTCATAGAAAGCGATTCACCAACACTTGAAGAAAACTATAAGAGACGCCTTGATTTTGCATCTGAATTGTGCGACTTTTTTCAGTTGGGGTCGTTTTGAACCAATACCCGGAGAATCGTGTTTTGATCTCTTCGTCCCAGCCATATATCCACGTCTAGTCACCCGTAATCGCGTTTTCCAGAAGTGCCAAAAGGTTTTCTTGGTACACTCTTTTGTCATACGATTTTTCACCTGGTGAACATTCAATTTTTTCATACAAACTTTATTCAAATGCTTCTGACACTTAAACGGTCGATCGAAATAGTCCAGCATGAGTCCTGCGATTGTCCTGGGCTACTGTCACATCCCTTCGGGATGAAGATCGTCCTCGATGGACTACACACTTCGACGGATTAACCATTTGTTGTACTTGAGTGTTACTTAGTACATGGCCTCCGCAGGCATTCTGCGACATCCACAGGATATCTGTGTGGCTATTTCTATTTTTTTAATATGAAACCGAATGCAGGTTTATTCCATTTGGGAAGAATCGCAGAAATCTCAATACATCGACTTAATTTCTCCAGAAAACTGAACCGTGCATCGGATTATTACGGAATTTCACTTTTGTGTAACAGAAGTTTTGCTCTTTTTGCCAAAGAAAAGGGTATCATTAACGACCATCCATTGACGCGAAAATTCGAATTACCCATGTATTTCTGAGCAAAAAATTGTTTACGAACTTCATAGGCGTTACACCCGATCTAACGTATGTGTTGCACTAGTTTTTGCCATTTCGTTAAAGCGTTCATCTAATTCGAGTGATTCCGTAGCTTAATGCAAATTATTTATTACTCTGTCTTAGTGTCCCGGGTCTAAGCTGATCTATAATTACGTCACCTCAATGCCGTGGTTCGTATAATTTACTTTTCTCTTGCAATTAACCCGTCTCTCAAGTTTTAGGTAAAAATAACAAATTTCCCGACACTCACTCCACTTTTCAAGCGAACAGGCCAACACAACTAGATACACACACACAATACAATAAAATACAAATAAAAAGGATGGACAGATCACGTGAAATTCCCAATACTAAAATGACGTCAGCGGTTTGGTTTGTCTAGTGTTATAAGATATCTTAAATTACTAAAGGTAGAGTAAATAAGTAAAAAAATGTGAAATAACAAACCTTGAGACTCTTGGAAGGGCTCCAATGAGCAATGAAGCGCACTGTCGACTTGTCAATTCCCATCCCAAAGGAAATTGTGGCAGCGATAACGCAGTACTTGCCTGCAACAAATTATGTGCGTTCAATTCAAGGCTTACAGTCACTAGATTTTGAAATCAGGAGTAGCGTAATCTATGTTATCACATTTACCAAGTTTATAGAATTTGGTTAACTTATTTGTTTAATTTCAGCCTCTAGCCATTCCTGGACCTCAGTGGTGCTTATTTCAACTAATTTATTTATCTAACAACTTAGGTAAAGGGTAAAACCAGGTGTTACCCTTAAACGCTAGTCCGGATGGCTCTGGTCACTAATTAGCACCGAACGATTTGTGTCTCTTATTTGTCGAAAACTTTTCCCTCATACGGCTCCTAAAAACTTTTACGCAGCCACGTCAGCCCTGAACTAGTAATTTTTTTTGCACAACCCAATTTTCTTTATTTTCAATAAAAGCATGCATCAGTACTATTTATGGCCCTCTATCATTTGGATGGTGATTTATTTATTCTGTTATAAAGTCTCCATTAGCAGTTGCCAAAGTGTTAACACAATTTTCCTTCTAACTTATAGAGATTTAAAGAATGGTAACATGTCCGTTAAGTCTAATGGACGACAAAAAGCCTTCCACTTTTGTATTTTTACCACCATGATTCTTACGATGTTAGGTTAAACGTTGTCTTGCAATAAGAGTGGTTTACCTTTATTCATCAATCTGGGTTATTTAACGCGGAACTGATTCATCAACAATCACCTGGTGGTCTTTCAGGGTAGCCAATTCAAAATGTCCTTTCTGAATTTTTTCAACGAACATATCACGAGGCTTTGACCAGTCAATTCTTCATCGAACATAATGTTGATATAGTCACCTATTTCCACTGCTGTAATTCACAGACTGAACTCACATTCATAAAATTCAGTCTTCCTTAGCTTACTTCATCTCAAAAATAGAAGAATAAAGCAGCATGGTTGTAAAATCGTGCTATCTTGAAAGACGCAAGTAACGTTTATCGCATTTCGCTCCCAACGATCGAATATTATAAGGTTTATATATAACAAAAGATAAGGTTTAGTGTTGAAGAACCCGTCCAGTCAGGTTTTAAATTCCTTTCCTTTCCACTAATCGGAAACGGTCTTTATATGGCGGGCGTAAGAGAATTTTCAGTCAAACTTTTGTAGAGCTGTATTTACAATTTTTGTTCTGGGTGGCCTGGAACGGGATGACTTGACCTTTTCAGTCGTGTTGTTTCTGCTGGTGACCTCGTTCACTGAGTACATTTATACCATATACAGATCCCCGTTAATCGTCTTGTTCTCCTCAAGCATTCCCAATGTATAAACGCAAGTTAATCTCTTGTAGATACAGGAGTCTGGCTTAACTTCGGGATTAGACCTATTGCCAGAAGCTACTCATTATTTTCTCTGCCTTACAGCGATGTGGGATGACCGTTCTTCGACACCGGTTATAGAAACCTATCATTGTCACTACCTGTTGCATAGTGCCAAGCGATTCGTCGAGGAACCTAACAAGAGAGAAATTTAACAATTATTAATTAAAAACAATGAGGCCCCTAAGTACTGACTAAATCCTTTGGATCAAAGGTGCTTATTGATACTTTTTTTTAGTCATGACTGTAATTCGCCTTCTAGCCCGATTCACAAAGTATACTCCAGCCGTCTTTCTTGAACAGGCCTTTAATCGGGCCTTATCGACCTTGAACGTCCGATCGGGACGAGGCGCACTCACCAGGTCCAAGATGCCGATCTCTAACTTTGCAAACCAATTTTGAACGGTCCTTTCAGTTTTAGAGTTATCGCTAAACGTTGCTGCTTGACCTTGACAAGAACCCAAGTCAAGCACGTGTCAAAAATATAGCCTCATTTTACTTGGAGCTTCCATCTCTGGGGGGGGGGGGGGGTAAATATGAAATTCTGTTCACTGCACTGTTAAATTACAACGGCCTTACAAGAGAAAAGGAGCACTTTCCAATAGCACATAAAAGTAGACAAAGGGTGGAAAAGTAAAAAGGGAAATTAGAAAGCGTTCAAAGCCAACCGAAAATCCTTGTCTTCGAAGCCGATAAATTTTTGTCGCGGCCAATAAAGGAATACATATATAGGCCGGTCGAAAAGTCTCTCATCTCACCATTTGCTGAAGTAGCAGTAGGTATGCAAACCACTGGAATAAAAAACCGATTTAACCGGGCAGTACATTCGTAATTAGAACATTAGCTGCTATAATACAATACTATGCTATAAGCATATTACAGAATATAATATTAACAAGGTGTATTTTGAAACCAATGGATCTAAGTTGAACTACCGTGCCTAGTTAACTGGCAATTTCTCATTATACCTCTTGAGTACGCCGCATGCGTGCACACCCATACGTAAGTTTTTGTTTTTCCAAATTTGATGCCAACAAGTCCGCGGATCAAGCACAGTAAAGCTCGTCGCCTGTCGTGAAGGGTCTCTTTACAGATTTAGCCAGCTTTGAAACGTTTCTCTTATTTTACTGTAGTTCGAGAGATAAAGTTGCTGCCGATTCGGCAAAACTTAAATCGAATTATTCTGATATACCATTTAAATGACCACAGTAGCTTTTTTTTTTTTGTATAAGGTACGTAGAAAATTGTGCATTCATAGTGTGCAATTTTTTTCCATTCCCACCAAACATATGGCGTCATCTGCTCTGCCACCAGTGTGGGCCTCGTCACAGATAATGGAGCACATTTTTTTTATCTGCACATTACTGTCGTATGTGATTCACTTTTACCACTTACGATCAGCTGCTTCAAAAATGACTAGACTTCATTGTGTTTTCGCGTACGATTAGATAAATTATTTTGCGTGAGTTCGTATGTACGCGGGTTTTTTTTTTTTTGTTTTTAATTTTCGATTTGAAACTAGTTTGTAGTAAGTGTGTAGTTCCTTGGCAAATCAATGGTATCGGTCTTGTTCAACTTCTTTCGTAATTGGTGTACCACTACAAGGAACATATCCTTCATATCGGCATTTTCGAAACAAAACCATCTTTGTGTCGTTTTTTTCCAATAACGCATCTTGATCATGAATAGCACAATTTTTTGTGAGTCCGGCCGTGTTTTAAAGCCGTGTCTTAATTAAATTATAAAATATTGAACATTCTTGTAAGAATTTCACTCATCTTCAAGACGTTCATTTTCAGTTTAAATAGAATAACTTGAACGATTTTAGCGTATCTACTGCTACCAAAACCCAGCTTTAAAGCGACAGCAGAGATGACCCTCGTACTTGAAATATGTGATATTAATGCCGTCAAGCTAGAAATGATAACTACATTTTCGACAATCCGATAGCTATTACATTTGAGACGTAGTAAGTAGGTGTAGGGTGTAAATACGTAGCTTTTTTATAAAACGTGAAAGATTGAAATCAGCTCCCGAATTACGTGCCATGATCATGAGTTCTGTTGCAATAGACACGCTGTTAATTATTTTGAAAGTCATACTTCGTAGGCTGGGCCTGGAAGGTACCCGCGACAATTTTCTCAAACAATAAGCAGACCGTTCATTGACCATTAGCTGGCCATCGGTGGAGCCATTAGTCGTTGTGAGACCTGTAAGACCTTGTTCCCTAGGAAGTCCTCTGCTACTTTTAATCTGCAGTAACATCTAAACGGTATCCTCGGTAAGACAGGTATCCTCGTGTATGACTCCATTGACTGAAACGAAGTATTGCTTACGTTTATCCAGGAAATCTAGCGCTGAACCTTTGCAACGGACGTGGATAATTAAAAATGACTGCGAAATGAATCAAATAGGATATTCGCTTTTATTTAGTTGTTGGTGTAATGGAGCTATGTTCGCAGCAGGCTTAAGGTTACTGAACAGTTAAGCTTTTTTAACAGCGACAGCTCTGAACGTCAGTCGGCTCCCATAATAATACTAAGCAAGCAGAGAAAACCGAATTTGCGATTTGTCTCTCCTTACGCGACACTTTTAAATTCCGTTTCCGTACAAACTAAATGCTTTAATTCAGCAACCAATTCAAGCCCAACGCAAAAGTTTTCACAACATGTGGCACCTTATGACGAAATCAGCTTTTGCTGGTACTAGTCTCCCGTATTAATTGCAGACGTTGACCAGTGCCTTAAATCGTTGAGTGAGTATTTTCGGTTTCCGTTGGAGGGCGAAACTGGCAGCGTTATAAGATAAAACTCAAATTAGCTGTACAGAAACCTGCAAGCTCAACGCCTAACAAAATTCATCAGTCGTTTGGTGCCATTTTGCCCTCCTGCTCACAGGAGAGCGCAATCTTTCTTTTGGAAAAACCCTCAAAAGGCTTTGCTTTATTATCGCACAACTACCGATAGCTACTGTAGAAAAACACAAGATTAGATAAACGCTTCTTCTCTGTCGTGCGATGTGAAAATATTTGCTGATTTCAACAATCCTATACAGCGTTCGTATAGGAAATGTTGCTTATTCGTTGTTTGCATTAACAAGCCATGTTTCTTGCATTCTTGTATTGCGGCGAGCTCGCCGGCGTTAAATACTTATGTACCATCGTTATGGCTTCAGACGTTCTCAAGCAGCCTTAGTCTTTTATGATTAATATTTTATGATAACTTATGTTTCAAATTAAAATTCTAGTATAAAAATAAGGTATAAGATTCTTCTTCAAAGTTATGTCCTATACATTGTATAGGATTTGGCTTGCTTAAACGCCCAAAGACGATTTCCCATAGATGTACATCTGCAGATCTTACTGAAGAGCGTCGTAACTATATGCGTATATGGATCGTGCTTTAGAGTATCCTGATATTTCCGGTTCAGGGCAAGTTACTTAACTGCACTGAGCTCTTTGTAAAGAAAAACTATCACCCAACAGTTAAAGACAGGCTCCAATCGGCCACATTTTCTACTTAGCATCACAAATGGCATATGTTAAACAATCGTTCCTGTCATTGTTATCCTCAGTTATGCTTAAAACTCAGGTTTCAAAAGAGGTGTAATCAGAAGGACTGTCGCAGGGATTGGCGGTTGAAGTACCGTCATATAACGAGTGTAGAATCCGGAAGAGCGGAAGGCAGCTTTCTTAATCGCTCACATATATAACTTAAAATGAAAATTGCATGAATCTATTTTTAGATGGATTTCTGTTGATACACCGTTGACATACTATTACATACAGTGTAACTGTCACTCGACCGAGTGCTTTAAAATAGGCGCGTTTTTAATTAGAGAAGAGCCATTTAACTGTCTTTGTGAACAAGATTTTACATCGGTTAAGGGACCTTGTCTTTGAAAGATCAGAAAAACAAGTTTTAGCTTGTCTACTAAATCTACTCCTGAGGGGTGACTAAGAAGCCAGCTTTTCATCAAATGGCTTTTTCTTCATGAAAAAAAAATTGTAAGTCAACGTTTCATATTGGTAAAATACGCGTGGTTTTCTGTTTTTAGCACAGCGTTAATTCATGCTTTTGCTACAGTGTAAATAACACTTGATTCAATTTGTTTTAAAAACATTTTGTATCCTCAAAAAAAGTAGCATGACACGGTAACACATATAATTTTAGATGTAATCGACTAAAACCGAAACATGCACGTGCTAAACAGCAACGGTAAGAATTTTTCATCGGAAAAGTACTTCGTATGGCCAAAAATTTCGTGTTTAAGCACTTACGATATTCCAGCCTATGAGAGAGTTTCTTAGTTTAAATATGAGCAGAAAGCATCTGTCTGATTTTTACTATTTTCGACTCGTATTTAAAATTCTCGTCAGTAACACACATCGTCATTTATAAACATCTTCAGATTTTAATACCAGTTGTTCTAGTAATACTCTTCAATGAGTTTTGGTGCCCGTTAAGCCTATCTTCTATTGAGGACCTGCTACATTGGCGTATGGGAACCTTCCCTATATTTCTCGAAAGACGCATAGTAGGCGATAATTTGGATTCCAAGCAAGAATAATTCTACCACCAGCGACCGATTAACATGGCACAAAATAAAATCAGCGAAAAGATTTTCACTTATGGGGTCGCATAAAATATCCATTGAGCTGACTCTAGTAAACTGAAGTCTTTGCTCATCAATAAATCAATGTTTGTGTAGTAACATTTCTTAAAATAATAAACCAGGCCAACGTTAATGAGATGTAGAACCTCAATGAGCACACTTGAGGGAACAAAAATTAAAAAAAGTCCAGAACCGCAGAGTTCGAATGGTACCCTGCCCACCCTCACGTAATGACCTCTCTAGCATTTTTATTTTTAATGGAGCTAAAAAAAAAATAAAACTACGTAAAACTTAGAGGGTGCTCATTTTTGGTGAATCTGAAAAAATCGCCGAAATATGATTAAACAGAGTTTGAATAAAATGAGCAGCGTGTTAAGTCCATTTAATACGAACTTGCCCACACAGCTGAAATAAACTGTTTTTATAATCTTAAGATACGTTGCTTTTAATAGATCTCGCAATGGCAACCCAGTCATAAGCTATAGCTACAAACAACGCAGAGAAATGCATCTACAGTTATGAGGTAGAGGATGCGTCTTACAATTTCGGCAGCCATATCCAACAAGTTAGCAGGCATTTAAGACCAAAGATAAGCTTTTTAACTCCGCATATAATAGTTACAACAAACAGGCCCAAAATATGCGTACAAAGTCGTACTTCAGCTAGAATCTAAATCACATATTGATATGTATTGGGTTTATTTACGTATCATTTTACCGCAAGACTTTAGGTGTAGAAGTATTTACCAAAGAAGAAATTTATATTTAATCTTTATTACTGACCATTCATCCAGCCATCTTGTGCCTCCGTTCTCTCAGCAGCCTTCATACCTGCGTGATACGCACTACTCGCGAGACCTATAATGGCAAGAAACAAGGAAAACTATTAAAATATTTTGCCCTCTGTGAATAATACCTTACTGTAGTCCCACAATTTTAACGGTATCTAATATTTTGATTAATCAATTTCATTTTAGATGCCGCTAACGTGGTAAAAGTGTTGTACGCTATCAACGTAAAGATTGCGTTTTGTAAAAAAATTTGCGTAAAAATTTGTAAAGAACGCGGGCAGACATTTAGAGATATTATGCTACGTGTATCAGTACCACTTTTCTATTTAAAAAAAAAACAGTCAACTCAGCACCCTGATTTGGCTAACTTCACTTTCATGTTGACTTCTTTTTTAATTCTTGGGTAGAAAGATTAGTGCTTGAAATGCTTCATTCACAATAAATTGGTTTTCTCTATTATTGCCAACATCTATACAATGTCAATCAACATTTTTTCAATAAAAATGTTGTAGAAATTTTCCAGTAATAAAAAGTCATTTAAATATCTGTCTTAAATACCTTAACTAGGGCTTTATTTGTGGTTGCACGCGAGGGGACGGACCTCAGGACTCGTGTCCCGCATTCTGTTCCTGTTCGTAGGTTTGTAGGATATTCTTGAATATCGAAAAGGTGTTCTTAAACTGACAATTTATCGTATTTGATTTTATGATAAGCTCACATAAGATTTTAGTTAGGAATAGTAAATATCCTCCGGTAGATACACATCTTTCATATTACACTAATTTACTTATAACTCAACATGTTCGAAAAAATCGCTTTCGATCAAACTTCCGAAGTACACGTTCTAGAATCACTAATTTCGCTATTGCGATGGCCATGAAGAGCCAAATCGGAGTGTTCGAGTTGGCGAAAGGTGTTACCAATGTTAGGCCGATCATAAGTTTAAAAATAGCTTTACCAAATTTCTGAAGTTCGACTGCTACATCGTAGCAGTCTTGCCGTGTTCTGCAGTACACGATTCCACAACCCCGCATTTGTGGCTCCTCGTCTTGCCAACATGGCCCTGTAGAGACATGGCTAATGTCAATAATAGATTATAATAGTTATACTACTTATTACAATCGTATAATGATTTTTTGTTATAAATCATGTATCCTTTGTTAAGTTAATTGAATGCTAGTAACGGTTAATTTATGGAAAATAGTTTTAAATCATTAAGGCATGTTTTTAAAATCAAACGAAAAATAATGAAAGTTCTTGGTACATATTTAAAGAAGAGCTGCAAGACCCTCCAGAATATATACGGTGCGTTACGTTTAAGTGCTTCAGATTTGTTGCATCTACAGTAAATATTACTAGAACTTAACCGCTTGAGGGATTCCTGAGAAATTTAACTAGCATGTCAATCAGTGAAAATCAGGCGTCCCGTACAGGCTAGCACTTTGAACTTATCTTTTGTCTACATCTTTCGAAAATTGAAATACCTGGTAGTTTTTTCTCATTCTAAATTAAGATTGCTATATCATCCCTGTTTCCCTCTTCTTCGGAAAAACAAAGAGGTAGCATGGTAGTCCCCTTTTCTATCTCAACCGAACAAAAGTTACATTTTCAACCCAACTTTAAAAAATAAATAGATGCAATACAGGCTTCTAATTTTTAATTTCGCTTTTTTTTTTAAATTTTTAACCAAGATTGATAGAACTCAGGTTTTGATGATCGCCTAGACTCCTGCAATTTTTGCATCTTTAAATTCAGTAGATTTCTAAGATGTCTAACTTATGTTTTGCAATAATCGTTGTCATTGTCTGAACTAGACAGGGTTTACTGTCAGTTCCAAAATACTTTTCTTATAATATACTTTTAGTATTTAAACTCTCTATTCAGTTGTAGAGAGTTCAGAGAAGAAGCTCCATGGATCCTAGATTGTGGATTTGGTGTAAGTACGGAAGTTAGCCATTATACCGTCAATTAGACAGCGCTAACGAACGTTGCCTAAGCGTCAACAGGGGACTGACATCTCCAGCTAGATTTTAAAGAGATGAACATAAATATCGACTACACTTTTATGCAGCTTTGCAAAAATTTTTTCGTACGTTGTGTTTTTTACGCTTCATAAGAAGCAAGAGAGTCATTTATTGTAGTTTTAGATATTATGGAAGTATCTTTTTCGTTAGATATTTCGAAAAATTGTATAAATGTATTCCTCATTGATCTAATAAGCGCCTGCTATTCTTTTTTACAATAATTTATGCAACGTAACATGTAAATATTAGTCTACTGATGTAGTGCCTCTTAAGAACAGTGAAATAAAATTCGCCTGTAACTTTATTTGGATTTGAGACAGTAGAAGCTACTAGCGCCGTATGAGCTACCTATTCCCTCCTCCACTCAGCTTACAGAAATAATGAGATCTATTTAAACTGCCCCTGCTAGAAACAAACCAAGTGCTTCGATGATGAAGTCCTTGAGGTGTTGAAATTCTTCGCCTCTCATCGTATCCTTGTAATACACATCGTAGAAAAGGTTCTTTCGAAAGGACGAAGTTCTGATTGTAACGACATTTTGCAACTTTAGCGAAGAAATAATTTTCTCCTCGTCCCTTTTCGATGCGGTTGCAGTAAGTGCTGCCTATTGGGTAAATAGAAGCCAAAATACAGTAAGTACTGGGGAATACTAAATCAAGTTCTGTTAGCTGAGAAGCACAGGTACTAAACAAAAAGACATGCACCAGACAATGTCCTAATAATTCAGATATATAGAAGTCGAGTTCCTGCATATAGGGTGCGGCATTGAGTGTTTGTATTCAATAAAGCTGCGTTTCTACTGTAGAATAACGACCGGAATGTAATTGCATCAGAAGTTCAAAGGAAGCGTGAGACTTTTTGTTAGGTGTATGTCCACGTGAGAATCACAGAAATGGTACATTTGACACGTTTATGGTTAACGTTGAATCATAGCATGAGTAATGTAGCTTGTTCTTCAAATGTTCTTTTTACGTCTACTGTGTTTGTTTACTCTTAATTTATATTCGAAGGTGTAGTGAACGGAGTTTCGCCTTGAGTTGAAGATGCAAAGAGTGATCTTCCGGGTGGGAAATAAGCGTATTCTGGGCACCCACTATAATCACTTTTTACCAAGGTGACAAAGGTGCCAAAGCAGTTCGGGATATTTGTGCCGCGGACGGCAAGAGCTCTTTGACTAAAAGGACTGCTCGAAGGAATCTGCTAAGTTTAAAGGATCTTGGATCTGGAAGATGTATATTCCATATTCTTCAGGTTTCCCGCCAACGAATTACTCTTTTTTCCGATCACCAACGAATGAAACTCTTGAAAGTGTATTTATCAGTAGGTAGGGTCTAAGAGAAACTGGCGAGACGAATTGTTTAACATCAGACTGGAAAATATCTAATCCATAATGAATAAACTGGTTGAGAAATGGGAAAACATAGTAAAACTTATATTAGCATAATTGTAAGGCTTTCCTAATATTTTTGCCTTTATTGTAAAAACATAATGCATGGTGTTTAACCAAGATAGGCTCAACATACTGAGCAGATAATTTTTCAACTTGCTGATGTTTCAGAGATCATCCACCGTGTTTTGCATTGATTGGACTTGCTTGATTATCGGTAAAGCGACATGCGGAAAGTTTGGACCCAGTAGAAAACTGCCAAGCAATATGAAAATTGGTAGTCATGCGTAACAATAGTTGACAATATTTATTATCAGGAAGTGATCAAAGATGCCGCAAAGATTACGGGTTTCTTAAGACTCTATTATACAATTCCTTTCAGATTTCGTTAAATAAAAGAGCACATACGCAATTTTATCGTGGAAACTGTTCGCACCGCTTTTGAATCGTTGATAACTTACTATAATTTGGAACAGATATATCCTAAAATTCCTATATCCTATAGGAATTTTACTATATTATAAGCTTCAACAGCAGGCGAAAAATATACTTAATTAAGCATTTATGCCGCCTCCTACTATGAAATTAAATTCGCAATTAATCCTGTGGTTTTTTGCACAAATAACACGATAGACTTATAAATAAGTAAAGAAAACCAGAAAAATGTACTAAGCCATTATCTAGGTTTCCTCGAAGAGTCTTGGATTTAGAATCCTACGACAATGGTAGATATATAACAGAATTCAATTTTGCATAATCGTGAACGTCGATGTAGTTACTACTACAAAAACTTGATAATACAGAAGCATATTGATGACGTAGACTTTTTTTGGAACTAAAACATTGATTATCACCTCCAATATGTGGCAAAGAAGCGCTTAAATAAAGGAAACCAATAATGGAAAAAATTTAGTAAATGCGACCTCTAACAGATGCTTACCCAGGGAATATGGGGATACTCTTCTCGTGCCTTGCTCAGTTTGAGGTAATCGGGCCGGAAATCGTGGCCCCATTCGAGAACACAGTGCGCCTCGTCCACAACAAAACGCTTTAATAACTTGAGCTTATTGAGCGCACGACAAATTTCGAGGAAGCCTGTTGTTGCTACCTGCGTATATGTTAGTTTCGAGATAATCATTGTTAGCACATATATATTTTATTTAGAACACATTTCACAAGTACTCTGTTGGTGACTGGATGAAAAACGAGCTGTCTGTCAATTGCTTTATCAAGGCTAGCCTAGGTTCAATCTGACGTCCACCAGACACACGGCTACAAACAAGGCACGTACAGATGCTCGAATGTAAACGTTAGCATTTCACAAACAACAAATAACCTGTTCCGGAGTTACATAGAGAAGCTTGGTCTTCGGCGATAGAGACATCAAGTCACCTCGAACACGTTTCCGGTCAGCGGCATTTAATGTTGAGTTGATCGTCTCTGTTGGAATTTTAAACGATCTGTAAAAGACGGATGAAGATAAAAGTTCCATAACCAAACCGATGATCGCTTTGGTATAAAAAAGGAAAATGTGACACGAGCGTTCACCAAACTTGTATTATTGTCATTATTGTTGGGGTAATAAAGCTCTGTCTTACGATGTTGGACACTGTGTATTGTTTTATTCCTATTATATAGGTAACTAAGGTCCACGGGCAGAGGGCCTGCTACTATCGTCGCTTTAAAAACCATCGCCCTCTAATGTAAAGAAATTCTATAGACTTGCATCTTTACGTTCTGTTTGCCTTTCTAACAAAAAAATCCCTTCCCCGGGATGTTACTCCAGCCATTGGAGGTACTCCTCTCATTTAAATTCTACCATTAATTGCTTCTGTGCTGATTTCCTTCTCCAGCCCAACAAAGCGGAAAATTTCTAGGCGACCAGTTGTAAGATCAGATGGTCGATTTGAAGATGGGCCAATATCTAATTGGGTTGCTGTAGGAATGATTATTATGTCGGGTTGACGCATCATTAGCCACTAAGTAACGCTGATAAACCGCCACCAGAAATGAACAACTAACTTAAAATTGTGAATTTGGATGCGTTCTCTTTGAATCCAACGCCCAAGTTGCTTTCTATCTAAACATTTTGTGTCATCTAGATAATTCATCTATGTCTGAAAACCTTTTAGTTCAAAAAGTCTTTTAGCTCACACTCCTCAGCACATCCACATTTTCTCGCATGGGAAGTCTGCCGTCAATTGCCCTCAGAAACGCTTTCATCATTAATGCATCCGTTCCTTTTTTGCGCGTATTTAGTCTAGGTAAGCCAGGATACGGTTCAGAAGCTTACATAGCAGCAAATCCGACGACACGTGCTTTTTATCTCATGCGTATTCTGCCTGTATACCCTTTACGTACCTTTTCCCTTCTTCTTTTTCTAAATTATATATATTTCTAAAATTATAATGGCCACCCGAATCATAATATTTGTAAAGTACCTCCTTCGACCTTTAGCCAGTACAATCGTGTTGCTTTTGGGTTTTCTTTTCGAAGTAAAGAGTCTATTCTCGCTTTGTGAATAATGTTAAAATACTTATCTGACAGTCAATGGATCCATCACGTGATCCTGTTTTTTATTTCTTTAACAATGAGTACTTTTTTTTTGCTGCGATCCATCTGCAGCTAAAACCTTTGATCGCCTAAATAAGCTGTAAGTAATCGGTCGCCCTGCAGGGTGCGAGCTTTTCCTCTGACGTGCAACAAACTGGTTCCGCCTTAGGTAAGGCGCACTAAAATAAGTAATGCCACAACCTTCTTCATCGCAATTCTGTTTTAAGACAACTACTGTTTGCATGACAGAAATATTTATAATATGGAGCGCCGAGTCATGTCGAGACCGCAAAAACCCAAACTATGAGGTTCTTGATTATTTTCAATTCCAACTATTTAAATTAGTTCCCTTGTCCTCTTAAATTTAGTCTTTTGCTGTAGGTTTTTCCGATGGGAGGGCGATGTATGAGTAATAGTTCGAAGAAGTTATTTTATACACAGGGTTTCCAGTCAAAGTACGGACTTCCTATAAGATGTTTCTAAGACTGTATATTTAATAAAAAGGTATTTTACCGATTTTTTTTTGGGTTAGCGTGTCGTTCCTGTTATAGTTATTCAATCTAAATTCCATTCACCGAAATTACAGCCTCGATCTGGGATACTAAACTACCCGTTAATAATTTTTAAAATGTCCTTTTCGCTCATTTACAAGTTACTTCTGTAGCAGCCGTACGCTAATTGGTGAGAAATATCCTCGTTTCGAAAAGGCCATGTAATTTCTATATCGAAAGTCCAGGTTTGCTAGAAATGGCTTTGAGTCGTTTTAATTTATTTTGATAGGTTAATCTAAATTGTATTTAGGACCCCTACTTTACCCTATGTGAACCTTTTTAAAGCATGGAAAATTTAATAGAGAAATTTAGATTAGAATTGATTTCGTGCCATTTTTATTATTTGAGTAGGTTTGTCTACTGTGACGAGATACGATAATAAGATTCGCTATATTTTCAGGGCAAACTTCAAGCTTTCATTTCGTACAACGAAGTCACTTTCATGGTTGGATAGCGACTGCTGCAAGACACGCCGTCAGAATATCAATTTTTAATAGCGCGTTGCTGTGCTTTCTCTCAATAGGAAACAGATTCACGCTTTAATAGTATTTCCCGAACAGAAAAATCTGGGCTGTGTGCCAGCTTGCAGTAAGAGCCCAAGAGAGCTGGTCCCTTTATACTTTATCAGTAACGAGTCCGTAAACCCACCCCTGAATAAGTGGGCATAGATCCTTTTACGCAAACGCAATACTGATATTACTACGAGAGCTATCGCGATAACAAATTCTACATCACGAATACAAAAGGTCTCGTTGTGTGGACAACGCATAAGCGTGGCCAAGCATTAGTAAATCTGATCTATTTTTTTTTTATTGATATTTTCCTTGCATATAAAATTTGGCCTCTTCCTGTTACTCGGTCTTAAGTGTTTCTGCGATTAGGAATCCCAGAAGTCAACCATTTGCAACAACCATTTGTACAATTATCATATACGTTTATACTATTTAGCATGGTTCATTACATCAGAAGTACCTGATGATGAGTATAATACCTGATCCAGTATTTAATTACAATACCATTTGGTAGAAAAGCCTGAATTATTACCGGCAAAGTCCGGTTATCACTTGCGTTTCTAGGCTCACCAATAGTCCCGCACTAATTGTGTTCACAGAATCCACGCTTATCTGTTAGCGTTTATTAGCTGCTTCCACGAGTTTTCTAAGCAATCAATTTTCACTGTTGCAAGTAGTTCAGCGACAACCGCTGCGGGTGTTGAAGTACTTTCGAAATTGAAACTTTTCGTAAAATCCACTTCCAAGTCACGAATTGTTTAAGAAGTGTCCTGATCGCTTCATCCAAACTTCTGTGATCTGAAGTAACAAAAGCACGCCCTTCACATGCATAAACTAATAAACTTTAGAATTCGCAGTGAGCACATTTTATAACCATGGTCAGCGGGAACTCGCTACTTGATGTGCAATTAGCGTGGAGTGAAAATTGCCTTCCAATGAAGGTTTATAGATTGCAAATGATACATACGTCTGCAATTAGACAGTGCTGACACAACGTGGGGCCGGAATCCTGGTTTATGACAGCCGAAGATCATTTTTAACTCCTTTGTGCTCAGAGATGCTGATAACACATTCTTGTCAGGCCGATAGTCAAACCAAACATAACTCCATATACGAATTAACCTATGCTACAGTTAGAAAAAAAATTCGTAGCAAACACTCCAAAATGGAACTTTAATTCTACTTCGTCGAGCGACGGTTGGTTGACGTGCACGAAGTGTTAAAGTTTTTACCATATCATAACAAAATTGAACTGTCCGGGCGACCTGAGCTCCTTTTTCAGAAAGCAGTCCTCAAGCATGTCTGAGTCCTGCCGCTTATTTGTCTCTACCATCCCACAAACATATCGTACCGTTACGACGCCCCTGAGATACCTCCAGGTTCTATGAATAATTAATAATTTAGTCTTCAGAACATTGTTCCTGGGCTATCCGACATTTTATCTCCTCGATATACTCTCTCGATCTGCTGTCGTCAGACACATTTTCTACGCCATTAGGTCCGCGTTGAAAAGCTTCTACCGAAAATCGTACGATTTCGTCCATCCTATAACGCAATGACCAAGTTGCAATTGCCGATGAAAGTCTCCGATTTGGTCTATATAGCCCCCACACTGTATCAGAAAACCATTTATTATAATATTAAATATTTATCGAACTTTATTCATTCACTTTTGCTGGTAAAAGCCAAAAGCCTCACAATAACACAATATCCCAGTATCATGGAGAGTATATAAAGTTATTCACCACTGCCTCGTGTGGGCTATACGAGTCCTCTTGAGATTATAAAACTATTTTAACTATTCTGACAGATGTCCTAAAGATGGCGTCAGGGAGCAACAAGTGGCATGATATCTATCATAATTTCCTCCGCATCTAGGGCACGTACATGTATCGTTGGGCTCATGGGAATCTAGTTTCCTGCATAGGCTATGGTAAAAGCCACGCATGGCAAAGTGAGTGACGAAATATGTTTAGCCGGTTTGTCCCTTTCCAGTCGTCATTCCTTATAGCATTCGAAGCGAAAAATCGATATCAATCTTCGCGAATTTCTGATTTTTTAAGATTCGTCTCGACGGCTTCCATGGCCGAGAGCTCAAAGCGACGACGTAGGTTCTCAGACATCACAGATCAATCAGCTATGGAATCTGCGAGATGATTTCGGTTCACAATGTATAGTCCCTATGTGCTTTTGAAGAAGGTTTTGATTTGATTTAATTGTTAAATTTTTATTACAAGTTCTTTCCAGATAGCGCATATTTCATACATTACAATCGGAGCTATTTTATCATCCAACAAGTTGAGAGCAATAGCGAAAAACAAACGATGAGGTAATTTGTCGCCCACATGGCCAACACTGTTTTCCTGCATCTTTCGGTGACGTGCGCAGTGAGGAATCCCAAGTACGAAAACTAGTTTACATAAACAAGAAACAATCTGATGAGATACAAGCTGTCAGTGGCCGCTGTCTTGCGTCCCCCTCCAAACTTCATAGCCTCCGTTTTGATCAACTCTATCAATCCTAACCTCGTGACTTCTATATAGAACTCGCTGCACTTTTACCTGTTCGACCCGTATAAGTTGTGTGCATAAAGAATAAGACTGATCTCATTGGCCTTCTCATTTGACTAGGGAGGGCCATCAAGGCAGCGTGTACGATTTCCAAGTAGTTATCCAGTCTATTAATTAGCAGGTTAGAAAGAAACTTTCTTCATTATTCCCCGCCATGACAACGGTGCGGTAGGGTTACGCTTTTCTTTAGAGATCACTAGTAGGGTAGTATCTTTCTACTGGGCAAGAATTGTACCAGTATCTTAATATTTAGCAAATAGTACCCTCTAGCACAGGCCAGAACTACGGCCCATTTAGTATGGTCGTTGCAAACACTATCTAGATCAGCAGCATCCTTATCTCACCGGTTCCAAATACCTTGTATTAGTTTCGCATGTGAAATCTAGCTGCAGGACGTTGTTTGGTATTGAGATATCATCTTTCCACGTTGCAATGAAAAAGGGCACCGCGCTTGGTATCATATCCTTTTAACGCAAACATCTCCAAAAACTGATTTATGAAGGATGGGAAGTTAACTGGGCGAGCCATCGATTTGCTGTGGTGTGGATATCAACTAGAACGTCAACCACAGAAATGGTGCGTTAGTCGTTTGTGTGGTTGATGTTCGGCGATCAAACTGGTCCTTTGTGGTGCACATGTGTCGGTAAATCGTCTTAAAAAGGAAAGCAAATGGTTAGAACTTAGGCTGTACTCCCGCCGTACGCCTGAAGGTAAGTGTAGTTGAGTCATGGCCTATGCTTTCAAGAGGACAAAAGGGTAATACTGTAGATCAGAAAATTTCAATCATATGCTGTACATAGGTTTCGGCACACATCACGTCAGAAACAGAAAAACTTTATGGGTGCGTGTTGGGAACTTGTCTATACCTAGGCGGTGCGAATGAGATTGATGTTTGACAATCTGCGCAGGTGCAACTTGGGAACCAAAGTCTATCTCCATTGGTGTGTGAGCACGAGTACTTGCTTCCTCTGAGAGGGACTGATTTTCACCTTAAAATTTTACTATACATCTAGTTACTAATGTTGCAACTATATCAATGAACTTGTTTTCTGCATGCCCGACCGCAATCCGACAGCGACTTTCTTAAGTCGCTATCAAAGTCGGATCGACTATTCGGCAAGCAAGGTCTGCGAGCATGTACAAAATGTGCGTAATACTGCTCGAGCTCAAATGCTCGATGTCTCCGGCAATGACCAGAGTAGATGCAGAAAGAGAAGATGCACTTCAGTTTTGACGAGTGTGTACGTTAATTCCGAATCGACCAGTCAAACATAGGTTATTACAGACTTAGTTACTGGTCATATAAGCCATCCAAGCGAAAGCTGAGGTCGCCAATATTATGATTGTAGAAAATGAAAATGCCTTTACTGGGGCGTTTCTCTTCATTGCAAGGCAGTGCACGGAATATAAATGAGAGAAACTAAAAGGCGTAGTTGCCTAAGTCTCCCTGAACACTAGGATGTCTATCCTGTTTACGGTTTCCGAAAGGAAAAGTGAATCTCTCACAGTTCTACTGTATAATTCTTGAAGTTTCGGCAAGGTTCAGCCGCGCTATAAGTCGACCTCAGGAGCGGCCGGAGTGATTCAGGGTGTCGCGTACAGGGGGATCGATTCTTCGACGTCAATGCTGCCAGAATTCGCTTAGAAACTCTCGACCGTTGGGGAATGGAATTCATTTGCAATGGCCCACCCGTCTGGTTTAGTGTTGCCATTCTTAACGGCAGTGCTTTAACAGTGACTTCGCTTCGCGGTGGCTTGTCCCTTTGAAGATGACCGACCGGCTGAAGCATCCGGTTTCGGGATCTAGCTGGGCTTACTAGGTTTGTTGTTCAAGACCCCAATATCAAATTTTTATATCAGTCCCTTTCGATATGTATAATCCCAGCAACTATCTGAGAAGCACCTGTATTGTGGACAGAAGACAATTGGCAATGAGATGTAAACATCCGCCGCCTTACTGCACTACAACAACCTACAGCTTTATAGATCCTCCCTATAGGTGCTCCAAGGTATTGACGTTCATTTCTAAGCGAAAAACCCACAATGTCCAACTGTTGTTAGACACTTGGATGCAGCTTTTCGGCTGTAATTATCCAAACAAGTCTGCCACAGCCCTATCAGTACCCTATACCTTACATTTTCGTAGTCAGCTGTCCTAATATGTCCTTCTCCTTAACGATTTTTCAGTATATACAGTTAAAAGTCAAACATATGAATGAATAAAAATACCATAGTAGCTTTCATAATCATCACGTTTTTTTACCACAGTCCTCTGGTATTTCTAGTTATTTCATGATTCGCATTAGCAATGAAAACAATTTTCTGCTTGGACAACTTCAACGAATATTGGCTGTTCTAAGCGATGACCCTTGCCCATGGTTCAGACAACTTTTCGATTCCATTAATTTTAGAAGTTAATATTATTAATTTTGATAACCTAGTTCATATATATCCAGCTTCTAAAAATAAAAGGTTCTTATTATTAAGGAAGGTAATATTATTAAAACAATTCTTTCCATCAATTCTTCCTTTTGCAAGAATAGGAAAAGGTGATGAATGGAAGAAACCAAATATGGCGGAACACCTCAATTAAATTCTGGCAATTTTCGATAAGCCACTAAAGATGCGTGAAATCGAGTGCTGTCATAAGGCCATATGGCTTCTCTTCTATTGTCTATCGCGGGCGTTTTTCTTGGATACATGGGTTATATATCCAAGGAGCTTGATTGTTTAAGGTTTAAACAATCGAGCTGCTCATATCACTTTATAGAAGTAACAGTTTGGTGGTTTGAGAGAAGCTTACAGAAGAAAACTTCTCTGCAATCCAGTACAGCACTACTTTATTTGGGCGGTCTCACTGCCTTAAAGAGCATTACCGCGATTTCATGATCTGCCCTAAATGACAGCATTGCGAGTTACCCACCTCTTGTCATCCGTAACTATTTCTATACGAAGAAGCTTAGCATTTAATTTAACAGATATTCGGTTATGTATACACGGTTCACTAACCAGTCATATCATGCGGAGCGCAGGTGTTTGCTCGATTAATGTAATTGTTGCCTTCTGGATGCCTTGGAACGATCGATTTGAATGCTTCTGTATTTTCTACAATCCGGCTCGTTTCTCGGTTCTTATAACGTACAGAAAAATTTTTAGCGCTTTCACAGTCAGAAGGTAGACCTATACATATATGCCTTTCGATGCTAGATTTGCCATTTCTTGCGAATCACTTGCTATCACTGTATTTGCTATAGTTTTGAGGCTGTATGCTGCACAATTTTTTTTATGAACCTCGTATTCAGCTAAAGTTGACTTTAAATAAACTTTTAAGATCTCCATCTTTAAGGTCTCGCGCGGTTGAATAGCAGACGGTGCCAAAGCCTTCTATTCTATTCTAATCAGTTCTACAAATAAATTAAACAACCGCTTTCCTCTTTCATCCGAATATAAACTAATTAAAAATCCGATGCAAATTTACAAGACAGTGTAAACAACAAGCATCTGCTAAATGGGCCGCGGTTAGAGTATAAGAACCCTGTATCCTAGACGATATGTTCACATATAATACATATCAATTTCTATATATATATAAAAGGTGGTAATTATAAGTTAAGTAGGTTAATCATGGACAAGGTAGCAATAACGCTCAGTTTCGCACGGACGGGCTTCAACAAGAAGGAGGGGGAAGTTCTACACCCTACTTAAATGTACATTAATTCTAGTTTAATATAGTTTAAGAAATGGGGATACGAGAAGCGAAAGAAGAAACCAAATGTAGAAAGAAGTAAATCGAAAAAAAAAAAGAATAAAAATAAATATATAACCTGTAAACCCGGAAGACACTATGCACATGAAACGTTAGCAATCTACTTATTAACGGTTGTATATTTATATATAAAGATGCATTCAAAAAAGTAGCTCTAATGGAAAAGTATTTTTCACAGAGGAGGAAAAGAACTAACTGTAATATTGTAAAAAAAATTTATTTTTTAAAATATGAAGTGCCCACCTAGGCACACTAATAATGAAACACCGCCTAGCGGTGTATGTCACATCGTTTGCAACCAATATCAATAAACCAGTCAGTAATTACACGACTCTTATGCTGTGCATCACTGTTAGGTTTCAACCATGTCTTCTACCAACTTGGCTATTGACTTCGCTACAGGCATCGGTAAGTCTCTGAGAGCGTTGGTTAAGGTTGGGCATGACAGATTCGTAAGGGTCACGTTTATTGTACCTTTTTGCGAAACCCCAGAGAGCGACTTTCTCCACAGTCCTGTATGCCTATCTATGTGTTTCCAGCAGGAACTTTTCCTATTTAATTTCGTCTCAATGAGCCGGCTTGTAACCATGGATTTTACCGGGGAGGCCAATAGGTTCGGTTTATTCTTCTTGTTGCTCTCAGAGCTTTTGATATAATACTTGCCGAACTATTGGCATCGTTTGCTCTTCCTTAAAGCACCGCTTTCCGCCTTAAAATTTCCACCGCTTCGATTCCGTCTGGCGACGTACCCTATGAAAGCAGTTTTATTGCCACTACAATCCCTTTTGTCCGCTCCTTTTGTATAGTGTTCATTGCGTGAGCAAGATTTGTGTGGCTGGGAAACAGTCCTCTCGCCGGTTTCTCCATCAATTCTCTTCGAAGCGTCGGTTGAGCTGTTTTCGTTTTGACCATGCGAATATTATAGGAGTTACCTAGAGGTAGTTTCCTGCTTCGCATTTGCAAATACCTTTTTATTTCCCCTTTTGCTTTTTCTAATAACTAATTTGAACTCCTTTCGCGCAGCTTGGGATCTGTGCGATGTATCCTTAACACATGTTCGCTTTCTTTTTACACTAGCTAAAAAAATACAACCTAGAAAAAGACCGTAATCAAGAAACACTTACCAGAACTAGAAAGAAAAAATAAATCCCACGACGGTTACCTAAGTTCAACCGAAAGTTGAAATTCAGTTAAGTGTCTAATCAATAATAATAATAACAATAATACATAACGGTTTCTGAAGTGCATTACAAAAGTACAGAACAGATGAAAACAAGATATTTATCAGTGGAGTAGGTGAATTATAAATAGGCCAATAATAGCGAATCGTAAAATTTAATAGTGTCTCTGCATTGTGCACCGGTTTACCGTTGTCGTTCTGAAGTAAAAAAAAAATCACAAATAATAGTTTATCCTATTTTTACCGGAAACTAATATATCCTAAAATTAGAACTTTTTGTGACGCGTACCTTGCATGTGTAACTTGATTCTCCATTAAAGCTATCAATGGAGTGACCACTACAGTGATACCCTTCTCATCTGCCGCACAGGGTAACTGGAAGCATAACGACTTTCCTACAATGAAGCATAAAACATTATGTATAATAGTGAACAGTAATAATGTATGCATGTTGGTACCTATATTGTAAGCTCTAGAGTAAACATTTACAGCAATATTTGACGAGCTTTCATGGCTCAGAACAGTAGAGTTTAATCAAAAAAAGTAAAGAACATATGCTGCATTGACAATTCCGCGACGCATTTGATTGTTATGTCAGATTTATGATAAGTTTTATGAATTTTTTTAACCCCAAGCCACAATTTTCTATATATCATTTTTTTAATCTGACCCAAAATGACATTTCTTTTTCAAATAATATTATCTAATTCATGTTTCTTACCATTGTTTTCTATGAAGCGTAGATTTCTTTCTCTCATCTATATATATACCGAAACCAGTAAAATTACGAACTTTTTTAACTCTATTACAATAAAAAAATGTTTCATTCTAAGTACTACCCATAGATATTATAGATTTGGCGACGACGACAGGATGCGTAGATTTCTTGACCGGCCTGAATGGTTTACTAGAAGGCCCACACTACCCATTGTCAACACAAAATGACATCTATGCTATGCTTAACAACGGAAAATATTTGTCGATGCTACATTTAGCCGACACACATTTAGAGGTTAAAATTAATTACGACGCCAAGGAACTATTGGCAATGAATACTCCTAAAGATATTTAGCGGTACAATCAGCTCCCGTTCGGTATAAAAATATTATTTTTATACCGAATGGGAGCTGTTATTTTCCATAACACAATAGATAAAACTATTCATGGATTAACTGGCGCATCAGCCTATTTAGATGACACCGTGGTCACTGGCTCTATGATTTCAGAACACAATGAAAGGCTGATGGTCACTAAGGAAGTTTCGCCCGAAAAATAAAGTTCCTTGAAACGTACATCAACTAGTTATATTTTATTATTATACCATAAGATCGTAGATGACAGAAACCGAAAAAAAAACAAATTGTTGTAAACATGCTTCTACCTAAAAATGAGTCAGGACAGCCGTTACTCAGGTCAATTACACACTGTTCACCATTTGTAAATAAACTAAGAGAAATCCACAAACTTCTTATGTTGGAATGGTGAGGAGAATGTTTGAAGCGCCTGAATTAAACTAAAATATCTTATGATGAAACCTTTTACTAACAATGATCCCTAACTACCAACTATAGTCGCAGCTGATGCCAGTCCTTATAGCATTAATACCGTAATACCACATCAATCTCTAGATGGGTCGGCACAAAATATGTTAGTTGCTTTTTAAATAAACATGAACAAAACTTCGTACAAATCGAAACAGGAACCCTAGCACTAATTTTTGCCTGGCAGGCATTCTGAAGAAAGCTTTTACTCACCGACCATAAACCACTACTAACCACATTCGGTAATCAAATAAATTTTTACCTACACGGCTTAACTTAAAAAGATGGACAGAACTTCTTCCAGGATACCCCTTCGAGATTTAAAATAAAAAAAATTGGCAAATTCAACAATGACTTATTACTAACCAACACATTCGCAGAAAGTCTGAAGATAAAGTTACCGCATAGGTTGAAAGAGAACTCGCTAAAGTTCACTTGTTGAAATCATAATTGTTTACCGATAACATTGTAAGATATTCGCTATAATATCTGTCGATGTTTTCAAAAGAAATCACAATTAAATACGACACATATAATTCCGATGCGGCTCGTAAACTTTTTTAATGTGCTATGTAAGTTTTCTAAACTTTGCAGGAATTACGTCAGTAAAGCTTCTCCTAAGAGAAAAACTGAAAGCAGTTTTTTTTTATTTTTTCGATCTCAACGTGTGGCAAATAGAAAATGCATAGGCACCGGAATTAATTATCAGAACCGGTTCTAGCAAATTGTCATGTACAGAAAAAAAGTGGAAAACAAAAAATAGACGCACCATGTCCATCCACTGTAGATAAAGGAAAAACCGTTTTCGAATATTGTGTTAGGAACGGTATCAACACATCAAAAAACGTGAGTCTGACGACTTGACGGTCAATGTAGTAAATGTTCGTAATATTAATTGAAGACTCTTGTAAGATAACAGGATTATTATTCTTGAAGACAAACCGTGACTGAATTTATAAATTTTTTTATAAATATGAATTTATAAAAGAGCAAAAACTCATCTTAAAAGGAAGGAAGGAATGACGTATATATATGTATACATATATATAGCTAGTAAAGGTTAGAAACGATTCTATCTACTAGACTTTCGTCTTATTCTAAATAGAAGCCATAAATAACATATTTCGTTTTTATTATAACATCTTTTAATATATACATTTAGAGGAATTCAAAAGACCATTTTGTTCCTAGAGTCACATCCGTACGAGTTTGATGTTAACTTGGAAAAGTTGCTTGCAGACCGAATTTGTTGAAACTTAATTACCATTATTAAGCACCTTAACACTTTAAGATGCATCGTTTTCGAACTTTCAGAATATTTCAGAAATAACAAATCGATATTTTCGCAAATACAAATGTATATTAGCATTATATTCTGTTACAGTCATTCCTTAAGTTGTTTAAAGGTAACTTACAATTATAGTAGCGTTATACGTGCTTAGCCTAAAGAATTACCTTCAGTGCTTGATAATTACACCTATAAAGTTACCGACAAAGGAACTAGCAAACATTTACTAATCGAAACCTTTACATATAGATGCAAATATTTGTGTTAAATTGCGACACACTTTATAATATATACCTTTCGCACTATGAAATATATAATGACCATTCAGTAAAGATATTTGCACACATAAACAAAAATCTTTTTATCCAGTAAATTGAGCTTGAAGAGCTATTCATGTTATAAAGACATTTCACGGTACTCGATTCAATTATTACTATGAAAATATGAAAAATAATAAAATTATAATCCAAACGCCCTTTCTTAACTCTGTTACTTAATGTTAACCTACATATGTAGTGTACATATATAGGTAGATTAGTCGGTTTTCATTATAAGTATTTTATAACTTACCAGCTCCAGTGGGCATACAAACAAAAACATCTCGTTTGCCACCATATATTTCGTAGGTAGCTCGCTTTTGCTCAACACAGCGAAACTCCTTATACCCAAAGGTATTCCGTAGCACTTTACCTAAATCTGCCGTCATTATTGCATAGATTGTATACGGCAGTAATCATCTGACACGGTACAAAACATCACACGATCTTTTTGTTCTTGGGGGTTGAGCTGTTTTGTAAGATAAGCTCGTTACTTATGGGGCCCACCCGAACAGTTTCTATTTTCGAATCGCGCGCCAAACGTGCCGCTATAAAAGCGGGCGTTTTCATCCGCAGCGTACTGAAACCGATACTTTCTTTGCAAATTTCCTGTGATATTTTTATTGATTTAAGACGTAATTCAAGATTTATTGTTTGTGTGAAGGTCAATTTAAAAATTTAACTGTGTTAATTGTATATTACCCTGGGAAGTTAAAATACTTCTTTTCTTCAGCGAACGCTCACCCCCTGGATTATCAGTGATCTCAAAGTGTCTTGTTGATGCCGTTTTACGATAAATAGTCAATGTAGCTGTCTAGAGCGGACGCCAATGTTGTGTTGCCTTTTAGGTGTCAAAACCCTAGTAGTATAAATAATAATAAGCATAATAATAAGTCTGTGTTCTGTTTATATTCTATTTGTAGAGTTTATATGGGAACAGTGCGTTTGCGGAACCTTAGACAGATCGATATAGTGTGAAAGTAGCTGCTCGCTGCATGTACGAGCGAAGCTTTGTGGCCAGTATGCGGTCGTTAGTGTAAAATGTATCTTCCTGTCTTCTTCCAAACTTGATCTGGTCTTAATCTATACAATACATCCGGAACAATGACGTTGCTGTGCCTTTCGGTTTCATCTCAAAGAAGGATTGATTTAATGCTTATTGTGTTCATGCATTGTATCGCGCTATGCTCAGGTCATCTGCTTGAAGATCATGGGCGTTGCGAACCCATCACGATTCCTCTTTGCAAAGACATCAAATACAACACGACAATCTTTCCTAATTTACTTAATCACCAGAAACAGGACGACGCCGCAACCGACGCCCACCCGTTCGTACATCTCATTAAAGCGAAATGTTCACCCGACCTGCAGTTCTTTCTTTGTACTGTATACGCACCCGTGTGCACAGTACTACCTCATCCTATTCCCCCCTGTAGGCCATTATGCGAACGCGCTAGGAGCAAGTGTGCACCTTTAATGGAGAAGTTTGGATATAACTGGCCCGACAACCTCAGCTGTGAGCAATATCCAATATCGCCGTCAGAAAAACTCTGCGTTGGCAATGAAACCGAGCCGCACGATCATGCTACTACCTCGTCTCCGATGTTCGCCGGAAGTGGTACATATTTAGGTTACAGGCCTTCAAGTCGACAAAATTCGACGAAAAATCATGGTTTCCTATGTCCGAAAGAATTCACAGTGCCTAGCAGTCTAGAATATGTATTCAAAATCGGTGGCAAGGAAGTGAAGCACTGTGGTATGCCATGCTATAACATGTTCTTCCGCGGCCATAATCTCCATTTAGCCCGCTATTGGATTGGTTCCCTAGCGATAATTTCGGCTGTATCATCGCTCTTCACTGGGTGCACTTACCTCATCGATACCCGACGGTTCCCCTATCCCGAGAGACCAATAATTTTTCTAACGCTTTGTAATTTTATGGTAGCGCTTGTGTACATTGTTGGTTTTCTCCTAGGCAAACAGATCGCGTGCAACGCACCCTTCGCTGCACCCAATGGTGAGCGTAATATCCGTATGGAGCACACGATCGCACAAAACAACAAAAAAGAAGTATGCACAATCATGTTTATGGTTTTGTACTTTTTCTCGATGGCAGGGGCTCTTTGGTGGCTTGCTCTAACCTTGGCTTGGTTCCTAGCGTCGGCCTTGCATTGGAGTCAGGAAGCCATCGAGTCGCTAGCGAGCCATTATTTCCATATGATCGCCTGGTCACTTTCAGCCATCAAGACAATCATCGTCTTGGCCATGGGAAAAATGGAAGGTGACCTTTTGTCTGGAGTATGCTATGTCGGTATATGGAATATGGATGCGCTTCGAAATTTTGTGCTCATACCCATGTTGTTCTATGTTATGCTCGGAGTTCTCTTTTTATTAATTGGTGTCGCATCGTTGTGTCATGTTCGGACGGTGATGAAGCACGATGGAACTAAGACGGATAAACTTGAGCGACTAATGGGCAGGATTGGACTTTTCTCGTTGCTTTATTTAATTCCCACACTCACAGTGCTAGGATGTCTTTTCTACGAACAGGCCAATCTCGATCGCTGGCTTCTATCTTGGCAATGGGATGTCCATCGTGAAGGTAAGCTAGAATTTGAGTTTCAAAATCAGTTTAATTAGAATATGATACTTCAATCAAGACAACTGTTATGGGTGACAGAATATTGGCCCGTACGAAAAAGCAACCATCTGTTATTAAATATTAAGATCTGACGCGTAGTATAAAAATCAATGAGTAAAGTAAAATATTTGACATTGAGCATAGCACAAAACCTCTCGGTTCGCGTAAAAAGACGCATTAACTATTTTTGCTAAGAAATTTCATTTATATCGCCAACAGTCAACCATATCTGTAGGAATATTCAGCCATCGTCTTGAAATACAAAACACAATTTATGATACCGAAAGGGTAGTGAATTTCAGTGTTTGATATTGAAGCCCAAGGAAGACTCATGATCATATGCGACATTTTACGGCGTTATACATCAATTTCGTTAGCTACGAAGTATTTGAAGAGTTACAGGCTTAGGTAACTTTAAGCATCGATGTCTCACAAATGAAGGTCACTAAGCGTGTGAGGTTAGTGTTGAAATTTGGAACTGGCAGCACTTGAACATAGTTCTCTTGAATCTATAATTGGGAATTGTATCCTTTTTTTTTTTTTATCAGTTTCGGGTACTTGTTTTAGGCATAAAGTACGTGGGGACTTATTAAAACTAAAATATCTGTCTATTCGAACACACACAAAACTCCACAAAAAAGTACTTTCGAACAAGTTGGACAACTCATTTTCCGTGTACTCAAAAACTGGGAGATGTACACTGTATGGCGTTGATTATAACGGGCGCTCAATGGGTTAAGGTGGCAAAATAGTGACTCGGCATACTTGGCAAAGAACAAAAATATTTTTGCTGACATTTGCCAAGTCAGGCAATAACGATAACTTACAAAAGTCAAGAAAATTATTTTTTTCCTTGATGTGTCAAAATTCATTTGTCATTTTTTATACCAGATAAACGTTTAAATATTTCAGTTGTATATATACACACACACACACACATATATATATATATAAAGAGCAGGGAGTCGCTTATTTAAGCCGCCAATAATGACATGCGTGTGATTTCATTAAAAAGGAAACCATAAATGTTGAAGTCGAATCTTGGTAACCAACGGGTCGAGCCCGAGACATTCAGATGCATAACGAGTTTTAATAAAGCAAGACACATTTCATGTCCCATGAAATTCTGCCCGGTATTTAGTCGAAGGCCGTAATTAGAACTTTGGGTCTTCGCACCCTTAGTACGATGGAATTACTATAGGAAAATAAATACTATTAAATAGGCTTAAACGGCATTTTTTCTGATTTCTAAGGTTCGCGTACCCCAGACCTTATTAACTTGAAATCTAAATTCAGTATTGAAACACACCTATTCTGTGGTGTATATCATCGGTTCAATTTGAAAATAATCCTGTCGAATTTATTACGTAAGCAACAAATAGTGTGGAGTTTTTTTTGTTGTATGTTCATCCATATATTATATTGGATGTGTGTGGTGTCCTGACAGGACTACATATAAGCTAGCCGCAAGGATAAATAAATTTCTTACGCGTTATGCTGCACTTTTTGATTCTTTTACTCTAATTTTATTTAAATCTATCGATATATTATAATAGTATTGGTAGCCAATGGGTAAATATAATCCTGCGATAGGCCAAACAAAGCCGGTTCTTATCAACAGTGTAATTCCTTCACACGATCAGGTGCTTATACATTTTGGCGCGTCGACTTTATGACTGAATGCCTGTAAAGTTAGGTCTTCCCTTGCAAGATTGAAACAGTGTCACGTTATAGCATAACAATCATAATTCGGGCGCCGTTATTTAGCGAATACAAATGGTTTCAAGTTGAACCGAGCATTTTCTCGCAGGGAAATGTCGGTTAGCTATCTTGTGAGCCATATCGACCAGTATGAAACCGACCAAAAAGGGTTCTGTAAACGCTGCCACATCCAACATTTTTTAGTCTACTTTCAACGAGGTTGACTTTTTGAATGATAGAAAAATTCATTGCTATTGAAAACTAAAACCAGCCTAACTTCAGTACTCAGTCTATTCAAAAAAGGGAGCATTGGATCTTTACTATCCTTGCATTAGATTTAAAATAATTTGGAACGTCATGATTGCAGTCAACTTGTACAGCTTGGAAATATTTTCTGCCTCCTAGAGTTTTTTATTGCTTATTTCCACAACAGTCTCTTTTGTCTCAGCGCTTTTTTCTCTGTTGTTGAGTAAATCGATCAAATAATACTTCGCTATACTTATTGAATCTTATAAAGCAAACCGGACCGAGGTTTCGTACCAAACCTTGATTATAACACGTGTCTTTGCACGCGCAACATGTGTGAGTCTTCGTCAGTTTTTTTACATGAGAGGTGCTTTAGGTGGAAGTATTTTAAACTCTATCAATATTAGGTTTTTTTTTCATTGGGATGTCGCTGGGATGTAGTTGGGATGTTGCTGAAAATTGATTTCCATTGTTGCAGAATTCGAAGGCTGGTCAGCTATTTTGATTAACACATCCATTGAAGCAGTTCGGCACATTGCGCTAGAATGCTTCGACCCTTCATTTTCCACAAAAAAAAAGAATAGTTATTTAGCCGCTCATAAAATTGATTGCTCACCTGTGACCAAACCCTAGTTACTGCAAAAATTTTTTAACCAAAACGCCGGAACTTTGAATTTTAGAGTTAGCGGGAAATTGAGGTTAATTAAGAGTGGTTTAAGGGGTGACGAAGGTAAAAAGATATTACGTTCTACATCGTACTTAACATATCTATGGGGTGTTTTTTTCAACAACTTTTTAGCGAACAACAACTTAATTACATTCAATAAAATTATAATAAATTTTCTATTCGAATCATAGATGATGCTCCACATAGGTTGCCATTGTTGTGTTTTTTAAATAGCAAAGTAAATAGCAAAGACATTATTAACACAAACGGTAATTTTAATATCGAGCTCATACCAGTTCACTTGTATACCTATTTCCTTCGCAATATTAAGAAATAGAGCGTTCGTTATATATTCCATTCCACATCATATTTCTAACATCGTCCTCTTGTATGTTTTCTAACATGCGGGTAGATCTCCACAGAGGGCGTGATGTAACGCGTTCTGTGGTATGACTTTTAGCTGACTTTTAGTTAATTCGGACAAAATTTAGCGGCTACTCAGTGTACCTTATGCTAGTTGATAAGCATAATGGACTCTAAGCAAAGTGGATCATCTTGCAAAAAACGGTTAGGTACTTATTTATCTTTTACTTATTAAATTTAGACAATTAAGACAATTACCTGCAAAAAGGAAACCTAATTTTTGTACTTCCTGGTTTGCAGTATGTGCATTAGCTGGAAGCAGCCTAGGTACTATACCAGTACGGTTACAAAAATATTAGCCAATCACAAGTCAGCCGAACGTCACACCACGGAGCTCTGCAGTTCAGCATTAGGGTCTATGGAAAGAAAATCTTTCGTACTTATTAAAACTTAAAATGTGTTGTAGACGCCTTATTTTCGCTGAATCATGCGCGTTATAGATTTACGAGTTAATACATATAGCTACCATATTAACATTATCCTGATACCATCCTGTTGGGTATATAAATAAAGCCAATGAAGATAAATAAAAAAATTACTAAACTCAGGAACACATAAAATGGTCTAGGTTTAAACCAGACATATTAAATTGTGCGCTGGCAAGTGCCATCTCTCTGCAACAATACGTGACGGCAATACCAGTTGCCAAACTCGGAAATATTTAGGTTCGGCGCACAGCGGAAAAGGCGTCTACGGCACTTCAACGACTCATCCCACGCCACGTTTCACAATAATTCGACAAGTATTTCAAGCTTTGTAGGGATCCCCGAAAGAATCGTGGTTAGCGGTAGACCCTCATTCTTTCATAGCACCATCAACAACATTGAGGTGTGAGTATTCGTTGAGCTTACTAGCCCCACTCTTAGACTCCGCTACGAACCATTCCGAAGAATGTGTCCACGTGCGTCAAACAGTCCACAAAAGGACGTTCTAAACCTCCGAAAATTCAAAATTTCAAATTGAAAAAAAATTCAAGACACACTTTCGTTTTCTGCTAAGAACCAGCCATTCTACATACACACACAATTTGTTATACCTCTAGAAACTTAAGTTCTGGCCAAGTTTCAAGACAGAATTCTCACATAGAAAAAAATATGTTAGGTCTGAAAGAGCTTCCTCCAGATCAAACTTCAAAATACAATTCTTACATTGAAAAAAAAATCGAAGACTGGCGGCTCAGTTGCAGGACGGATTTGCTCATCAAAGGAAGTTATTAGAAGTCAAAAGCAAAAGGTCAATATTCTTACAGAGTAGGAAGTTGTTAGAGCTAAAGACCTAAGTTACGGTAAGCTTCAAAGCAAAATTCTCAGATGGAAGGAAGTCGCCAGAACTCAAAAATCTAATCCTGGTCAATTCAAAGACCTCAGTTGGGGCGAAGGTTCATTCAAAGTATTAACGCCAAATACACAAGATTTGATTAGAATAATTATACCTCCTCTCACGGATATCCTAAATTATGAGACCTTCATTTATACGTTTTCGTAACTCGTTCTTGAATCAAACCCTTCAGTGAAATCAGTGAAGAGACGAGTAGACAAAGGTGTGTCAGACCTAGCCTAACCACCACTAATCGGCTTTTCGGATGTTAATCCGAAAAGCCGATTTTTACCCAAGACAACGTTTTTTTTTTGAGAGAATTCCTTATATTCATATATCGCGCAAAAGATAAAGAATTGCACATCATGCTGATTAGTTTAAGACAAATACTAATATATAACCGCCGCTTTTTATTTGTTCTGCATTAGTTAATTCATTCGTAATAAAAATAAGTCCATATTTTTTCGGACTATAAGACAGTCGCAAAAACATAGAAATCAATGTCCTTGGTAAAAAAAACAAAACGAAAGCTCCCAACTCGCCACTTTTACTACTTCATGGTGCGTTCACGCTTAAAATGAGATTATTATTACTGCCACAGTTCCGA